AATGAAAATTAGTATAATCTTGTAGGAAAACCTTGGCATAATATAGAAAACTGCTTGGCTAATGTGTTAAGCGTCATTGATTGTCAGAACGCAAGAGGGCTCACATCCACTAAGTCTGGAGTTCCTGCCATACAATTAAATGGTTTTATGCCAGACAGTCCGTCCATATTCAGTCATTTATGGTGGCAATGATGACATGACTTTATGTGAGATTTTGAAGAGTTTATCCATTTTGATTTCCTTGCTTTCCAGCACTCAGGATAACCCTGGAATTCCCTTCACTTGAGTCTGGAACAGAAAATGTAATTGTGGTCTGTTTAGAGAGTAAATTAATCATATTTGTGGTTTGACTATATCATAATTCTGCATACCTCGGCCACAGCTGATAGATTAACAAGGAACCGCCCGCGTTACAAATGTGTTATGTGTCAGATTTGTGGACAACTGTCATCACTGCATCATTTTATGTGTCCAGTCACAGAGCCTGATGTTAACTATCCTTTAGTTCTATTGGTGGCAGATGTTAGCTGAATGTCCTAAAATTCTATGTGGGGAGGCATCCACAGCCCATATTACTCTCTGATCAAATTATATATAATGATTTGCTAAGTTAAAGTCGGCTTTCAAATATTTGCCATCATTCAGGTTTTCAGGGCCCTATGGCCGTTCTCAGCACAGTGCTGCATATCGCAACTGCCTGAAATACTTTTCCATTTCAGTAACGGTCACAGTAACAGTGAGCCAAATGCTGAAGTTTTACTGCACCCTTCCATACAACATGGTGGGGGAAAAAAATTCAATACAGGATAGGTGGTTTTTGGTTAGTGGCCCAAAAGGGTCATGGAGTCCGTCCGAGCCTGTTTGGCAGATTGCCCCTCTTTGGACGCCCGAGTTATCCGGATAAACTCCTTCCCTTTTCGTTCCCCATTCATATTTCAGCATCTTCCCAGAATCCTTAGGATTACCCTAACATCTGCAGAGAGAGGAAATCGGTTTTATACTGCTTAAAAGAATTTCCAGATTTCTGTTTGTGGCCTGGCACATTTAACACCATAAATTTAGTCTTCTTTTTTTATTTTTTATTCCCGCCAACCAATAGTGACAGCCCAGGGTCACTTATGAATCAATATTCCGCTCGACAAAGGAAGAGGAGTTTAAAGTTTCTTCCTCCCACTTACCATTCACGGTCACATTTTTATTTTCATAACAAGAAAACCAGCTCCGACTTGGAGAATACGTCACTGCGTGGTGCGAGTACAGCGACACACCAGTCTAATCACGTTACCGCTAGTGTACTGGTTTACACTAAGCTAGCTGAAGAGATTACATGAGCTTTGTTTATGTTTCGAATTATCACCGAGTAGCGACAGGAGATACACAACAGCACGCTCTGTAAACAGAAGTGACAGTGGCTCCCTCTGTTCTGGAAGTTCAGATTTTTGTGCAAGTTAAACTAATTTGAGTGTGAGTGGAGGAAAAAAAGAACTGTTTTCTTTTCAATCGGTGAATAAAAATAAACATGTATTTCTGATTTTTAATATTTAAAGTACAGCATTAAATATCCATTTGTTATTCTGTAACTTTAACATAATCATCCGTACTTTTGCTTTTCCGATTGTTCTGATGTGTCGGAGATGTACTGCTGTAATACTTTATATGGTATAGGTCCCTTCATTATCAACTTTTAAAATACGTCTAAAAACCCATTTTTATTCCCTGGCTTTTGGCCTCAGTGAGACTTAGTGAGATTTTTCTTGTAATTAAATTAGCTAGTAATGAATTAATTTTTTATTTTTTTTTTGCATTTTATTTATTTCCTATGAATAGTTGATTATTTGGTTTTAATGTACAGTACTTTGTGTCAGCTGTGGCTGTTTTAAAGTGCTTTATAAATAAAGATGATGATGATGATGATGATTGCCTCAAAGAAAGTTTTCTAACTGCGTTTTTTTTTTTTTTACGCAAATAAAAATATCAAGTTTTAGAACTGCTGTTTCCGCTTTCACGCTCTTCGCTTTTACTTTTGTATAACATGTATTTTGCAAAGATATCTCAGCTTGTAATTCATGCTAAGGAATAAAAAACCTGCTGTAGGTTAAAATGAAAGTGAACATAAGTGGCAGAATTGCATCAAGGCTTAGAAAGTTGGTAAATTCAATATGGTTCTGGGACTAAATTTTGTCTTTCCACTTGTATAAACATACAAAGTTTGCTACAGAAGTGAAAAACACTGATTTTACAAATGACCTGCCACTTTATGACACATCAAAGTCATATTTTGATTGCAACAATGACTAAATGATTATGACTTACATTACTGCTTTTCTATACAAACAATTGTTTATAATGTTTAATCCATCAATTGTGAATCGGCTCAAAAATCTACAATAGAATGTTAGAATGTTTAAATCCATAAATATTAAATGTTTTGTGTAAGTCTAGGAATATGAATTAACATCATACTTCTTTAGCAACATCAAAATGATAGTATCACAGCGATTACATAAATGAACACAAATTCTTAATTAAATGCAATGTGATGTAAAAGGTGAATATGAACCTCAGTTTAATGTATATGTGTATGCATACAGTATTAAATTGGTAACTGTACTTGCATTCCTACAGTATTAGAAAATAGTGCATATCCATAAAGCTGTTTCTGATTTGGCCAGAAGTTCCATAGTGCACAAAAACAGCCTTCGAAAAACATAGAAGCAAAAAGGAAATATATGTGTGTGTTTTCTGTGCATTTCTATATGTCCTGTTACCATTCGGGACCTTGCCAGGCAAGATAAAGTCATCGCAATGTGGAAGCAGTTTGTTCTGAATAATCTCAAGGAAACCAGCACCGGGTTTTAGAACATGGGAACTAATTGTAGGATTTCTCTTTGCTCCAATTATTTTGTGAAAAAATGATTCCCCCCTCGGAATCGAACACTGGGGCCCCCGTACCTGTCTGCAAACGAGGCACGGCATCTTGCCCGGGATGTGGCGGATTCTTTTCAGCCAAGATGGCCGTGTGTTTTGGTTTCAAGAAGAGGCCCAGTCCTACTATTTCAGTGCAGTGTCTGATCACGCGAAGACAACTATTGTTAATTAGCCTGACACTAAACGTCAGCTCAGTTTTTTGATGATTAATAGGAATGAAACATCTTGAATGGGTTCCATTTCCACACCTATCACATTATGCGATTCTTACATAGTGTAAGTACTCAGATGCAGGCACATTGTTTGTTAGTAGCTGATAGTCGTAGAAATACAACATTGCTTGCTAATAGTAGTAATAATATTAGGTCAATAGGTCAAAGTAACAATCACTAACATTTGGTAATTATAGCTGTAAAATAAATCATTAGGACTGAGTATTAAAACTGATTCATGCTATAAGTGTACACACACACACACACACACACACACACAAACACATAGGCCTACATACAGACACGCACAATTTGTGGAAGCCTGTCATTGTGAATCACATGAACCATGTATCTAGATGCATAACTTGATCTGTGAAGATTTTTATGCTTATATAATGTTCCACAATGTTTTTTCCAAGGTTACATTTTGATATTAAAACCGCTTATTCTGGGTGGGAAAATAATTGCAATTAAAATTCCACTAAATTATTCACATGTACTCTATTTTCCAGATGCTATTATCCAAGCAATGTACAACTGAGACAAATAAATGTTATTTAGAAATCAAAACTAACAGAAAGTCTGTTGACCTTCCTTATTCATTGTTTCGTGTTTTTGCATATTTTATTCATTTTCATTTAGTTGTAATTTGGCATTTGAAGTGACTTTCTACTTTCTAATAACTTCAACTCTAATAATTTTAAATGGATCCTAAATTATAGTCCTACAGTTATTTCATTAAATTTAGCCAAAATGCTTCATTCTTGTACAAAAAAAAAAACAGAACAAAATAAATATATAACAATAAAATAAAATAAAATAAAATAAAATAAAAATAAAAGCTCCCGGGTCGTCTATGACTGGGACTTTCTGCACTTTCCCTCCAAGAAAGTATGAGTATTCTTATTTAAACTGTTGTTTTAACTCAGAAATCGCCTCGCTTAGTGTAATGTTTTTTCAACAGTTTTTAATACCTGTTTTAAATATCATAGGAGGCTTTAATTGGGTGTGTAATATAGAAGATAATTAAACAGCCCGCACCTGCATTTTATGAGCCACGGTGCACAAATAGCGTCCGATGAATAACATTTTTCCGCACATACTGTACAGGCAAAGAGCTGCTCTCATGTCAGAGGGGAAATGTTTCCTCGCCTTGCATTACAATGAATCCACTTGTTTGTAACCTACTTCCGACTTGTTTTGGCCAAGAAATCGCAGCATATCTTCGCTAATTGTAGGTTTAGGTGACGAATAATCAGCTCAGTCGTATTAGTCGACTTAAACCACGTAATGCATACCCTAATAAACCAGAGCTACCTTACGCGAATTTTCATCAGAGACGGAGTATTCGGGATAGGTATGGGGATCGCGATTCAGACCGGCTGCTGTCACGGCTTCACATTCAGGTCAATCTGTGGATTAACAGTTTCGAGATCTCTTAGGTGCTACATTGTACTTAATCCGCGCAAATCACTTCTCACCTGTCAAGAAAACAAGGGGAACAAAAACAGTCCCAGAAAAATGTGATATATAACACGGTTCCTTAAAAGTTAAATCCCCGATAACAGGGAGATTTTACATACTTGAAAAGTCTGTCCGTACTTCGTTTTTTCATGCCCCTGGTCCTTAAACTCCTTAGAAGTAACAATCACTGATGAACTGGAAAACCCCCACTTCTTTATCTGCCTGATTGACAGCGGGTGGAGGAACTGGAACATTTCAATGGGGTGCGCGTCCATCACCATTCCCATCCCCATCATCCATCTCTCCATGTTGAAAGCCAGCAGAAATCCGAGGCGCAGCCAGCGTTGCACCCGGGTTTTGAAACGAATGACTTTAGTGCATGCTGCGCTCTATTCCCCCAAACGTGACGTGTACGACATGCCACAAACGTATAGATTAGGTCTGGTTGGATAGGCAGTGGCACCCCCCCCCCTTTGTCTGGGTCGTTTTGGTCTCGCCCAAACTTGGTTCGTATTTTTGTTCTCCTTCTATGAGGAATCGCTTCATTCTGTTCTCGCAAGAGGCTGCATACGTCTATATACAGTCCTATGGTCAATGGCTGTCTGGACGTCTTTTATTTGAATGTCTGGGCTTTGTATATTTCTGTCCTGAGAAACCCCATGCAGTAATGGATACCTTATGGATTTTATGGATAATACCCGCAGCATTTGCTGTAGAAGGTAAGACGGTCTCTTCCCCCCCATTGTGTTTGGGAAGCGTTTCACAGAACGTGCGAATGTATCTGATCGCAAAATCTCATTCCGTGGGGTGTGGAGAAAGAAATCAGTGCTATTTGCAAGCTGGGGAAAATGTGTCTTTAAGGGGCTGGTGTGTTGCGATATTGATGTGGGTTATTAAAAAAAAACATGCATCAGTTTTTGATGAGGAATGCACCAAACAGGTTCTCTTCATTCGCACAGGTATGAGATGCATCGCTTTACAATAAAGGGAGAGCCGGGTTTTAAAACGAACCAATTGTACTTTCACAAATTCTTATACATTCCTATACCCCAAGAGGTAAAAAAAAAAAAAAAAGTAACCGGGCTTTTGGACAATGTGGCATTGTTTTCCTCACTATAAAATTATTAAAAGGTGTGCCGTAACAAGTCTCAATTCAAAGCCGAAGGGTGCTTGGCTACGTGAAATAATTTAAATCCATCAGCGTGTGGTTCTTCCATCCCTGCTTTAACCCTTGTGTAGACGACACCGCTGTTGTACCACGGTGAGACTGATGGCCAGACGGGCTCTGACGGTGATATTCCCATCTACAAATAAGTGCATTGGAGATAAAAGTAGGTACACTTATGCAGACGCGCATCTGCATGTTAGGAAGCCTTTGCGGTGAGAGACCGGCTTCGCCTGTATAAGCGCGGCGGCTGGCAGTCAGCTGGGGAGCCGATCCTCCACTGAAGTGCGTTTAACGGGCCGGTGACAGTAGGACGAGCCCGTCTCCGCATCTCCAGACTTGCGGCAAATGTTCAGCCCCCCCACCCAGCCCGGCTGAAGCGCAGGCCGGCGGCGAACGCATGCCTCCGCATTTGTACGGCTGCAGACTCAAAATGTCTGGATCTATGTAGCGGCCATGCGGCTTTCCAGTCGTTTACTTCTTTTTTTTTTTTTTTTTTTATTAAGCAGAGCATCTCGAAAATTTGAATATATTATGCAGTACTTTTGCAAATTCATTATATACTGTAGCGTGTGTTTGGCGGTAGCTTAATTTTCTGGTTACATGGGTGGTAATGGGAATAGAATACTTATGGATGTGTTATTAATAGTAAAAAAAATAATAAAAAAAACACAACGGGAGAATTTAATTTTCTAAGCTTTTGGTGCACCTCAAGGAATGTATAAGCGGCACCCAGGATTCACAAGTTGCACAACTATATATTTTAAACATGCATGAAATACTATTTTTCATATTAAGACAGATAATGTCATATATCAAATTTCCTTTGAAGATTTGATTGATGTGCTGAAGGTCTGTTACGGCCTACATGTTTTCATGAGGTATCCAGCAGTTGCCTGAAGTCTGGCAATGCCGTGAAACTTTCATAAATACGCTGATTTATAAGGGAGGAGAAGGAGGGAGAGCGACTGAATATCGGCACCAAGAACACTTTCTTTCATTTTTTTTTCTTCATAATTTTAATGACCAGCTAATTCCTAGACCAGTTTCTGTGATGCCTACTGAAGCTGTTAAATTTCTCTTAAACCTACATGGTGGCATATAAATCCCCCCCCCCTTATTTATTGTGTTAAAAATCTTTTTTGCACTAAATACAATCTTTACCCTGTAATTAGTGATTTGAAAAAACAAATTATTCCTTTGTGTACTATTAGGCCTACTGATTTTTGTTCTGTGAATAAGTACACGTTCTTTTCTTCTGATTTTTTTTTTCCACTAAAAATTGTTCACATCCGAGGGAATTAGACATCATGTCTGGCTTTAATTTTCAGATGATTTCATGTATTCTATATTTGTATTTCGTACAATATTAATTGCACGATTTTTACTTTTTATCTGTACTTTTCTGGAGGAATTTCCACTAAATCCTTGATGTTAGCCTGCGAAGTGTGCATGCTCGTTGTTGTGAGGTTCCAATATTTCTGAGAAGCCAGTGGTTGCTCATGTCCACCAGTGCCATGACGAAGTCCTCCTCCCAGGCCTTACATGGTTAAAGTTTGTAAACGTCCTTAGTCAATGTTTGCTAAATGTTGGGGAGATGACTTGGGGGGAACTCCATACGATTCCATTTTTATCTCCCTCATTATGTAGACCTGTTCAGAAAAAAAATGCATGAGCCTTCTCAATAATTCCACCCTTTTTGTAACAAGCTGGTGGTTAATTCTATTCTCAAGCCACTTGAGGGAAACAGTAAGTTGCTCGTGTGAAAAGGCTCCTTCTCTCTGAAAGTCAAATCTCTATCAAACATAGAAGCGACATAACTCTAGACTCTGAAGTTTAATTCTCCACTTTAAAATGATATTGGTACACAAGTATCTTTTCGCCAGTTTTGACCCATCGCCAAATGCATTGTAGGATTGGCTTTTGTAACAATATTTGTGGTGGCTAGAAATCTCACGTATAGACAGATGATGCACTTGTGAGCAGTGGAACACATAACTACTAATGAATCTGTTCATTAAATATCAGCTATATTAAATGTATTGGAATATTATTCCATTTGTTTCTTTTGGGGAACTTTCCTTTTTAATATGGTGAACAAAATATGTTGAAGTACATTAATCAGTGGTCGTAGTAGCCTTTTTTGATTTTTTCCGATAATGCAGGTGGGCAAAAATAGCGCTCCATCACAGTTATCGGCTGAAAATATAATGCTATCGAGCACGCAAAATTCGACGCAATCACGAATTCACGTCATCCTGCTGCCCATCTGTATCTCGCTGTTGGGATTGGCCAGTCACTCACCCACTCCGCCCCTCTGCTCGTCAGTATCACCCTAGCTAACTGTCCAATCAAACTACAGCACCTCAGCTTTGTATTAAAAATCAAGAGTTCACAATAGATCACTATGGCAGCAACAGGAAAAAAATACAAACAAAATAATATGCTACGTGATGGCCGTGATGTAGTCGCAGGTTGGTATAGGATTGTTGCACTACGAAATCACGACTGGTACTTTTCCCAGCAATTGTATATCTTTGATGTTCACCAAACATATCGTTTTGATGTCATCACTATATTTATTAGGCAAAACAAATTTTTGAAAGTAATTTTTCCTCTTGCAACTGATTAGGCATTAACTCAAAGGGGTGGGTTTTTAAAAACTTTGCCTTGTTAATGTACTGAATGTTTTTAAAAAGTCTTCATAGGTACTTCATGAAATTCATCAGGCATTAAGAAATAAAAAATGTAATAGTTCTGTGTCCCCCTGCGCTGTGACTGGGGGGTAGGCCTGAGTAGGCCTAGCCTCAAGTGTGATTAGTCATTTACTACTCTCCAGCACAGAAAGCAGATGAATAAAGATCAAATAACAGTTTCATGTTAAAAAGTCGCAGCGCAGGCAGGATGTTTCCCAGGCGATTTTTTTTTTACCAGTTTAACTACAGTGCTTTTGAACTGGTTTATAGGTTCATTACACATCTTTGGAAGATGGACACACGCTGTGTTAAAAAAAAAAACCCAAGTCCATTTACATGAAGTCGGCTTTTTGGTGTTTATGAAATTCTCAGGTCAGGCTCAGCTTCTGTCAGTGACGAAGTAAAATATGTACAACATTATAGAACGTGGTCTTTGTGGAAAAATGTTAATTCTGTATAAACAGTATTTTTAAGCTGAATTTTACAGTATTAGCCAAAAGATATATTTGCTCAGTATTCTGCTTATCCAAAGATGGCATGGTTCGTGTAAACAGACATGGAAAATATCATCTTAAAACAGACTTTTGGATTAGACAGAGTGCAAGATTTTCCCCTGGAAACCGTTAATGATTTGAAGTATATTCAAAATTCATAATCATATTACCAGTATTCTATAAAATGCATGCAATATATATTTCAAGATATAAATCTGCAAATTGATAGGAATATGAAAAAATACACACCCATTCTCCGCATGATTACGATTATTATTTGCTTTGGACAAAAGTGTCTGCTAAAAAAATGCATGTTAAGGTTCTGTGCATGAACAGTTCCTCAAGCTATCTGGTCTTGTGTTAAAGACTTTAAGTTGATTTATGTTGATGGTTTTTACATCACATGACCCGACAAGGTAGTAAGTTCTTTTCAAGCCATTAAGTTTGCGTTGATGGGTCTGTAATTGCCAGCAGCGACATTGCCTGGACCACCTGCATCTTCCTTCGTTTCCGCTGCAGTTTTTCTTCCACAGTGATGGGCTGATTTTATTCAGCTAGCACCCGAAAAGAAACACAACAATCCCGCCTGCGTGTTTGTTTGGCCTGCCCTTCAGATATCCAAGGACTGCAAATTAAAGTAGCACATTCGTATGTAGCGTTCCGCTGATTAAATAGCCGTCTTCCCTTTTCAGATCGCTCTGCCCATCCGCTCGGCGCTTTCAGTCGGTCGCTAAGTGGTAATAAATTGCTCTTCTGTTTTAATCACGGTCCCGCGTGATGTGAAACTCCTGCGTCTTAATTAATGAAATTAGAGGGCCCCGTGGTGTAGGGTCCGTTTTCTTGTTGGCAGTGGGCGGCCTTGTTTATCTGTTTGCCTCCCCCTCCTTGGCTCTGTGAAATGAGCAGCAGCCAGGTGGAGCCCCACCTTTTTGGGAGGGGGGTGGTGGTCTTATTTTATCATCTGATGAACAGCGAGGGCAGTTTTAAAGTGCGGAACTCGCCTGAAGGTCCTGTAAACCTTTCATACTGGTTCATACTGGTGCGCACTCCAGTCCAGACTGCATAGTGCCCTGTGTCATTTTTGTATCTTTGTGTCATTTCTCTGACCTCCTGAAATAATCTTTTCAGCGGGTCTCAGTGTTTATGGTCCTGGTGCTGTACGAGTTGAAACACTTGCAAATTTTGCCGTTTTCTTTGCATATGAAACGTACAAAAACATTCATCGTTTTAAATGAAATTCAAATTCATTGAGTTTGAATGCATGAAAAAGAAATCTCTTTGGTTGTTTAAATCTAGTATTATTAATACAATGCTTTCTCTAAAGAAAATATTTTCCGTGGGTACAATTTTTTTCACGTAAAAAA